TGCTCGAAGTTCACAATTTGGTTTAAAATGTAGAAGTACATGCGCCACACGTCTTCCTGCATATAGGGATGGTTGATAATGGATATTTAACGCAGTATCCATTCTCTTTCAGGTTCTGACACTGTGCACTTCGGTCTGCACACAAACCTAAAATTCAAAACAATGTGATAAATGTTCATCTTCGAAGAAGATATATATTTCAATAGCTTCCGTTTGACGTTTTCCGTTATGAAATTAAGGTAGTAGAAGAACTAGACTTTATAGGTCCATAACCTGAATCGGAAATAATGTTCCAGTGCTTCACTTCCTTAGGTATGCATTATAAACTAACAAAAGGAGTTTATTGGTCATCTCTAGACGTTTTGGTTAGCCAGATTTTTTGATTTCAACATTGAAGTCAGCGGGCTTTCTCGATACGGCACTCCACTAATGGCAAAAAGCATCATTACTAGTCTTCGGCTTTACATAAAGTCGACGCAAGAAATTGGTCTTTTAATAAAACAAAATACATTAATTTCTATAATCCTGATTGCGTATCTGCGTACAAACAGCCTACACGCGGATAAAGAATGAGTCGATTTTGGTCAACTTACCACAGTTTCCGCAGATGTTTGGGCATCGCCTGAATATTTCTACTGTAGTGCAGGCCCTGTAATGCAAGGGGCAAATGCGAGCCGGATCGCCTTTTGCACAGACGCCGACCGAAGGCAAGGGACGAGCGATCACGGGCTGTTTGTGCAGGACATTAGGATTCAGGTACGCTCTTGACTGGACCTTAGCGGCTGATGTAGTCTTAACGACGTCTGGCGATCCAGCTACGCGTGGTGACGAAAGCGAGAGGTTAATATTAACGAGGACAATGTTTCCATATTTAAGACAAATTGGTAATATTTGCTGATACAATTAACGATTTACTGTGTTTCAGTGCGTAAGCAGTGCCTAAGCAAAGAGCCGTACTTACCAGTTTAAGACTACATTTCGTGTAAGTTTACTATTTCGACCAGCAAAGTCCGATCTATTGATGAGCAGACTGTTATGCGAACTCTTAATTTTTTCTAGCGTTGATATGCGTTATTATTAACTTGCTGAAATATGCAGTAAATGAAAAAGCACACCTTCGAGAGTAAGGAGAAAAATATTAGTCAGATTCAAATGAACTTTTTCTTACTAAACCGTAGGAACCGAGTTTCTTCTTCATATGAAAGCCATATTTTGACCAAACCAACAACTAAACTTCTAACTTTGGATAGTTGGTTCTGAAAAGCTTGAAATGCCTACCATACACAAAAGTTATACATAGGTTTTTTAAATATCCCGTAAATACTAAGTCGGAAAATATCAAAATTGGCTGGAGGGTCCAACTTATTTGCTAATCTGTTAATTACACAGGATTCGATAAGTTTTAGGCTGCTAGAAAGGGTAGGTTGTGCCAGCCATACTTCAGACCACTTATGATCTTGCGGTATATGACTCTATTCAATTTATTATAAATTTATTGATGCGCACTGCAGGGTGATTGGGTTTTTCTGTATTCTGTGGGCTCAGAAGATTGTATTGAAGGTCAAAGTTTAGATACTGGATTTACAGAATGTGAGGTCTTGCGGCGTCGTCCAAGATAAACTGGGTGGACAATGACTATCGCTAGTAAATCATGCTACGTTAACTGACTTTCGACATTTTTTTAACGTCCTCTGCAAAGGCACTCCATGATATGTTGGCGTACACGTATCCTCATGATTTCAAGATTCTGCCAGTAGTATATCTTAACGAGCAGTAAAGTTTCGTCGTGATAATAGAGATATCAGTTTATGATTCTGTATGAGAAATCTGCATGTTGCGTGAAGCCGCAGGCCTACGAGAAACTTGAATGCTTCTGGACTCTAATAGGAATGCGTAACTATAGAATTTTAATAAGATGTCAGCACATGTAACCATTCAGTAGAATGGGAATCTGACACTCCTAGGCACTTTGCTTTGGAAGAGTATTTTTTTACAAAACTGGCGCACATGCGAGTGCAACCTCTGTCTGCGAATTAACAGGATAGCCCACAGAAAGCTTATAAAATGACTTACACGTGTTTTTAGTTCGGTTTGAAGTTTCCGCGCTCTGAATTGTACACAAGTTGCAAGTTTTTCTGCAGTTCCTTTTCACCCAGGGATTACCGCACATGTTGCGTTGCTTCCAGTCATGACAACTGGAAGACCTGTAAACGTCTGTGCACTCCTCTGTTATACTCTTCGCTGGGGTGACAGTCCTGGGTCTAAAAAATACAGGCGAGGACACGAAGCTTATCGTCATGATGCAAGCAAATTCTGAACGACCGGCGTCATTTACACAAAATTCTGAACAATGCTGCTGAAAAATGAAACTTTTCTAGTGCAATGATATCTCACTGATAAGTCCACGGGTTAACCCCTATTTTTCATCAAGATGGGATGAACTCAGTGGTTCACCCTGTATGAGACAGCGGTCTTGACATCAAGGCTGTCGAACTACTCATACAAAGCAAATACTAGGGGACGGGCAATTGCCGCACACACGTTCAAGTCCTACAGCTCCTGCCGTTTTGCCTCAGGACTTAGCTCACGTTTGACGGAACAATCTGCGAACAGGGAAAAGGAACACCAATGGTTTCCGATTTCGGGACGCATAGACGGGTAGAGCCGCTGCTGTTCCAACACCATAGACCAAATTCCGGGCGCGCTATATGAACGCGGCTCTCAGGGCCATGCCGGACCGACTGCCACTTTCTCCTAACTGTTGTGTACACAATACATTCTTCCTTCTATTCTCGCCTTCCCAAGACTTCGCTCATTTCCTAAGGAACCAGGCCTGGAAGATGGTAGCTGTTAGGGTTAACCGTCTTAGCCTTAACTTCTATAGGGCTTCAGAAAAAATGGCTACCCGCAATCGCTCGGCAGCTTGTGAATGCGCAAACGGGACTAGCGATACAATCGCACCGAGTCTACATTTTGGCGAACGCTTCCGTGCGTTCAAAAACGGCTCTGAGGCCGTCAGCTGCCGACTCTGGTATTGGAGTCGCAGACAGGTTTAAGGCAACCTTAAGGCATCATGTAGTGAAAGCAAAATATCCACTGCCATGGCTAGAAACATCTAGAGTCGTCTATAGGGTCTGATGCAGTTGCAAACTAAGAAACTAAGTCGGAAGAAACTGGAAGAATTCTTAAGACGTGAAGTGCCGAACACGTGGCAGCAGTGCGGGAAAATGACGTTAATTCTGAAGTCACGGTTCATCCGATGAGACCCTACCACACATTCAAATTTAACGAGACCGAAATTATTGCGAGAAGTGACAATCTTGTGACCCGCGATTTGCTTCAGTCATGGTTTAGGGACGCCTAGCCTATAAAAACTGTAATGGCTAGCCAAACCCAAAGTCGGTGCTGAGACTCAGTTTGGCCAAAATAATTCGTCACCCGGGGAGCGAACAGACGCACATTTCTTCTAGCGCCTGCGCCAGGGAATCAGATGGCCGAGAAATCCTCACTCTAGCATGTATGATAAAAGTTCAGCAGGTCACAGCCCGCACGCCGATCACAAAACAATTAGCGCACAAGCGGGCAAGTATTTACAATAGGGTAGAGCAGTCGCTTTTCATATACAGTAGTCGCCGGCTATTAAGCCCACCTCGGGCCCAGACCAAA